TTGCTGACTTGTCCGCTAGGGCACGGAACGAAACGTAAAAAATAAAAGTTTAAGGATAGATTGACCGTCAAAAATACTTACGTTTCTTCAGAAAACTGGAACTGCAACACAGGTGTTTGTCCAGAACTGCTACGATCAGAGAAAGGATGTGTGCCTGTGTTTCATAGACTACGAAAAGGCATTCGATCGCGTACAGCACCACAAATTAATGCAGCTCCTGAAAAGACTTGATATGGATCATAAAGACATCCAATGCATTGAGAAGTTGTACTGGAACCAAACAGCACAAATAAAATTGTCCAATACCATGTCCAATCCCATACAAGTTAGAAGGGGGGTGCGACAGGGTTGCGTGCTGTCTCACTCCTATTTAATTTATACTCAGAAGCTATTTTCCAAGAGGCTCTGGAGGACGTGGAAATGAGGGTCAAAGTTAATGGAGTGTGGATTAATAATATCCGCTATGCCGACGATACGGTCTTAATTGCAGACAATATACACGACCTAAAACAACTGGTCAAAGAGATAGGAGAACAGAGCAAAACCAAATTTATGATTATATCCAGAACCCCAGATGTGTTTATAAACTCCATCCTAACATTTAACTCAAGGCCCATAGAAAGAGTAGATAAATTAAAGTACTTGGGCATCTGGCTCTCCGAAGATTGGACATCAGACAAGGAAATTAAATGTCGCATCGAACAAGCTCGGGAGGCATTCTTGAGGTTTCGAAAGTACTTGTCTGTTCTGATTTTGACCTTAGCCTTAGATTAAGATTCGTAAAGTGTTATGTGTGGTCGGTGCTCCTTTATGGTATGGAAGGTTGGACATTGAAAGCAGCTACCATCAACAAATTGGAGGCTTTTGAGATGTGGCTATATCGCAGAATCCTGAAGATACCTTGGACGGCTAGATTGACAAATGAGGAAGTTCTCAGACGCGTTGACAAAGAGCGTGAATTATTTGAATTGATTAAAAAGAAAAAGACCGCATACCTGGAGCACAGAATGCGAAACCCCAAATATCAATTCTTGCATTTGTTGATCGAAGGCAAGATCGAAGGCCGGAGGGGTATCGGAAGGAAGAAAATGTCTTGGCTGAGGAATATTAGACAGTGGACAGGGCTACTCGATGTTCAGTCGTTAATACACACTGCCCGGAACAGAGAAGCAATGGAAAATGTTATCGCAAACATCCATTAATGGATCTGCACTAGAAGAAGAAGAAGAATAAAACTGGAAAATTTGACGTTATGGTTCGCGGGTACGTTAAGGCACTTTCGTATGTCACACTAAAACTCTAAAGTTACTCCTGAGAACACTGAACCTGCCTTATTTTGTTCAACTGTTCGGAATAATTATTTTAAACTTATACAAAATTTAGGCAAATAAAGCAAATAAATAGCAGCCTAAGCTGAAACTTATCAAGTTAAAAAAATCATTCTTAATCTTAATGTGCGACTGATTACCAGGAATCGATTCGTTCTATTTTAAAAACGAGTGGCTGGTATGGGGTTTGGAGCAGGATAAGGCAGGATTATAGCAGCCAAAGCAGGAACTTGTTTCAGCCATCCTGCTTTTATTGTGTTGCTATGTGTGACGTCACCTATCAGACTTAAACTTGCTGTATCTTAAAAACAGCAAGTGTTGCTGGGATGAAATTTAGAGCAGGATGCAACAGGGGTATAGCAGCGCAAGCAAGAACCAGTTTTGGCCTTCTCCTGTATTGTCAACTGGGAAGTTAACAACCAAAATAAAAGTAACTGTAGCTCAAAATTGGTAGGTGTGGCTGGGTTGGGATTTAAAGCAGGATAAAGCAGGATTGTAGCAGCCCAAGCAGGATCGTATTTTATAATTCCTGCTTTCAATGAATTGCTAACTTCCCCGATCTTGCTAGTTGATTCAAAATGCCGACAGTACGCAAGGCCGTATTTTAACTATCAAAATTTTAGCAATAAAATTGACAGAAAGTTTATTACGTAAAAAACTAGACCTAAAAGAAGAATGTGAGTCAGAAATCTAACAGATCTACAGTTCATATCAAATATAACCTAACCTAACCAACTTTTAGTCACGTGATTTTCACTTTCATATATTTTCTTTTAATTCTTTTAAAAGAAAATTTTCTTTTAATGATCCGGAAATTGTTTTGCGATTTTCTGCCGAAAGTTAAACTGAGACTTGAATCAACTCACTTGATCAATTGACATGATTAGTCGAGTTTAGAAGGTCATACTGTGTTCACGCGAATTAAATTCAAGTGATTTGATCAATTCACTTGACTCGTGTAAACGCGCCTTTAAGCTGACCAAAACTTTAGGGCTCGAACTCACTGACGACCAGGTCGCAACGACCTGGCCGTCGGCTGGCCGGATGTATTGCGTTTTTAGCTGCGGCCAGATGAACGACCAGTTTCAACAGAGTTGTCAAATCTAACGATTTTTTACGTTTTACCAATTAGAAAATATTGTTTCAGAAATGTTAAAATATCCGAGTTAACTAAAAAAAGCGAAGTTGCTATTCACAACAAACAAAAAGCATTGTGTACGCGCGACCGACAAAAAGGGAGATATTCTGTTTCTTTTTTCTACTGATATGGCGCCCTTATCGACTTCAGAAGTAAACATATTAGGGCCATCGTAAAAAATGATCGTCAGACACTGGCTCTAAATATAAGCAGGTAGAAAGTTTAGCTTCCAGTTATTTCAATGTTTACAATATAACGAAGAATCTACAACAGTAATTACTTCTATTTTTATGAATGTTTAAGTTACTTTCTTAATTTTTTTTCAAAATAATGTACCTAGTAGAAATATAGTCTAATGAACCCTGTTTGAAAAACGTTAAATTAAATATAATATTTAAAATACAGCTGTCCTCCTTGTACATGACTACAATACAACTAAAAAAAAACTAATTTAATAAAAAAAAAGAAGTAGTTGTAGAAAAACTTTAAATATTATTTTTTTTATTTTTTAACATCGAAACTCAAAGGTATAATAACAGGTATCATACCAACCATAAATAGAGTAGGTATATCATATAAAAATGTTTTGAGTTTTTACTAGAATTTGACCCTTGATAAAAAAAGGGATTAGATTTAAGTTTACCGTTGATCCAGTCTGTAAACTATTTCTTTGAATTTTTTGCACTTGTGCAAAAACTACACTAAAACACTATATGTTATAGAAAATAAAATATTGTGCCTTGAATTTTGAGGGATTTCATCTGAAAAATTATTAATTTGGAAGAAAACCGGCAACAAGCAGCAGAAAATAATAATACCGTATGATCGAAAAAAAAACGGCGTCCAGTTGGCTGAGAAATGACGATCAAGCCATCGTTGACGCCGTTTTTTCTCGATCATACGGTATTTCCGTGCAGTCTTCTGATCGCAACGACCAACGGACGGCCAGGACGTTAGTGTGCGCTATATCATTTAATTTAATGGTTTTAGAGGTAACTGCGGCCTGGCCGGTGCGACCTGGTCGTCAGTGTGTTTGAGCCCTTACTGTTTGTTACTTTCTCAGAAAAACAAGTAAACATAGAGCAGTTCTAATATATTTGTTTGTACAACTGCCACGTCTTCTCATACGTCTTGTAATTTTGCTATATTTCAGAGGTTTATTAATTAAACAGACATTTTTAGTATGTGTGCTTTTATATTGCGAGGTTGGGGATGACTCTAAACTTACTTATTTCTCTGAGATCATTTTAGTTATATTCGAGAATAATTTGCTGATATAAAACATAGTTATCATTAAATGGTGGTTAATATTTTTTTATATGGAATTGTACTATAAAATGTTTATTATAATGTTACTGAAAGTTTTTTTTAAATAATAAATAATATTTTTATTACTAAAATTGACTTTATTCTTAGAGATTAAGCTACTGTATGTTTTTTAGACGGCTTTTTGAGACTGCAAATGGAAAATACAGACGCTATATTGCAACAATTTTGCAAAATAAATTCAAACTTTAGTATTTTGTAAAGACAATATTTAAAAAAATATTTTAAAATGGAAGTATGGACTTATATAGTCCATACAGGGTGAGTTTATACAAGAGCAAATATTTTTTGGGGGTACTATATTTCGACCCCAGAAACCACTATTATGAGGTTTTAATCGCGATTTTTTTTTAAATATCGAATTTTTTGAAAAAAAAATTGTATTTTTTAGTTTTTAGTTAAAAACGATAATTTCTTGATAATATGGCAACATAGGTAGTAGATTAAATTTACAAGAAAGAAACCCCAGAAAAGATCTAGTGGTTCTCAAAATTTGAGTAAAAAATATTTTTTTTTTTGGAAATTTTCACTTATAATATCACAAGAGCTTAAATTATTTTCGTAAATTTTTTTGAGGGCACGAATATTTTGAAAATTATCCCGAGTCGAAGACGAGGGATAATTTTCCTAAAATATTCGTGCCCGAAAGAAAATTTCCAGGAATAATTTAAGCTTGCGTGGTATTCGGTAAGAAAATTTCACACCTAAATTTGAAAAAAATATTAATCCAACATGACATTTTAAAATAATTTCAATTTGTTAAGTTGGCCAAGGTATTGATGTTTTGACATATTATGTGTTTTGTCATTTTGTTTGCGATTCTGTTCATTAAGCTATTACTAGTTTTAAAACGTCTGTACGTAGAGTAAGAAGTGTATAGCGAAATGTCGCGATTTGGAAAAGTAAACCAACAAGTCATTAAAGAAGAAATTGAAAATATAAAACCAGATAACACCCGAAAATCAAAATCAAGTGTATGGAAACAGTTTGTAGTTCATTCACATTATGATTGTAGATCTTATGTTTACCTTTTCAACTGTCAAAAAATTTCCACTAAAGTTTCGTGGCGCCTCGAAAAAATTTCCGGAAATTTTTTCAGTTGCCATGGTAACTAGTCAACATTAAAGCATGTTATTGGTTGAAAAGTAGAGGTGTGAAATTTTCAAAGTAAAATAAATATCTCGTTTATTTTGAACAACTTATTTGAAAAACGGCAAAGAGAAAATAATGTTCCATTTACCGAGGTCCACCAGCCCTGAAAATATTTGGACTTTTTTAAGACACCCTGTATAATTTAATCGCTGGTGTAAATAAATGTCATCGAATGACAAATAACCTTGAAACTCTATCAGTTCCTTTAGAACCAGTCAAAAATAGTTTGGTTTGGAGCCAAAGAAATGTCTGATCCCACGAGACGTCCACTGAATTTCCCAAACTGGCACATACCCTACTTAGAAAAGCACCGAATTCTGGAACTCTTCCACGAAATAGCCAGGGAGATGGTCATCCAGAAACCCGACGATCACGTTCTGTTCATGAAACAAATTCTCCAGACCGCTGCTGCTTCCAGAGACGTGTCCAGGGTCATCCTGATCAGCTCCAGCAAAATAAACAGGATCAATTTAGCGGAACAAATGTCCAAATTAACCCGGCAAATAGTGATCACTTCGCACGACTTGGAGCACATGATGTCGACGAAGTCCAAATTAAGCGGAGATGAGATTGGGAAGATTTTGACTTATATGGTGAGAACCCAGAGCGTTGCTAACTGTGGGTACATCATAGCTGATTGTATCAACACCGAAGAAGAAGCTAAAAGTTTACTACAGTACGGTGTTCTTCCCACTCACGTCATTCATGTCGTACCACCTTTTCAGCCTGAATTAAACGACCTCCTCTATTGTAAAGTCTCGGAAAATTGGCCAGAAACTCGAAGAAACCTTTTTGCTTTGAAAGATATCTTTAAAAAGACACTTAAACAGGTCTTTGCACATGAAAAGGATCTATACTCACTTGCTAAAGAATGCGTTGATTTATGTCGTATTCGGCCTCATGTAAAAAGAGTTAGACCTAGAGTGGTTATTATCGGTCCCAGAGGTTGTGGAAGAAGGACCCAAGCCAGATACCTGAACCAGACGTTGGGCTTGGTTAATATTAACTTTGATTACATCCTCTGTCAAGCTTGGACTTCTAGTAGCGAGCTAGGGACGAAGCTACGCCAGTGCCGTAAAGAAGTTTGCTTCCATTCCGAGCTGTTATGCCAAATTGTCAATAAAAGAGTCCTGGAGCAAGATTGTATTGAACACGGTTGGGTCCTAACCGGATATCCGTTTACTGATGTTGATTTTAAGTTCTTGGACTCGATAGAAACACCTCCAAATCGTGTAGTAATAATAGATTGCGATTTGAACGTGTGCAAAGATCGTATTCTGTACAGGAAGTTGAACGTTTACACCGGATCTGTGACGAAATTGGCACCAGATAATGCCAAAGAGGATGATCCTACTGGCAAGAAAAAAGTACTGCAGACGCATCCTCGAGACGTGGAAGATTTAATAGACGCTGAGCATCGGTTTTACTGCGAGAATTATGGCAGTATCAAGAAATATTGCGGTGAAACCGTGATGGTGGTGAACGGTGACCAGAGTGACAGGTGGGTTCACGAGACCATCACTGCTCATGTCGTAGGTGCAAATCCACCAGGGTCGCCTAGAAAAGGATTTGGTAAAGAGATACCAGATGTTTGCAGTTGTGATTGTATAAATGTACCTGGTAAAGTAGCTAAAACTTATATGCTTACTGTGTAATTTTAGAAATTATTCTGTAATAAATTTTTGAAAACAATTTATGTGTGTCTTTTAATGTTTTTTATATAAAAAATTATGTGTTTATGTTTATTTTTTAGGTTCAGTAACTTGTCCGCGATGCAGTAATGTTTATAAGAATGGAAAGTCATTACAGACTCACCTTAATCAGCAATGTTTCTTGGAAAAACCGTTTTCCTGCAATTTTTGTGGACGACTATTTAAAAAGCGTTGTAATTTAAACAGACATGTTTTTTCTTTACATGCATCGTTTTAATCAATTGCTCTTTTGTTGTTTTCAGTTTGTTTGTCTTACTTCATTCTTCATTCTTCAAGAAAATTTTGAAAAACCATGTGAAATAAATAAATGTTATGATAAACTTATTTTTGTAACTTGAAACGAATGTTTCCATTTTCCTATATAGGGTGTCTCAGTAATAAGTGCCATTCGACCCCATAAACAAGCCTATGAGGTTTTTTGGCGAAAAAGAATTGTTAGAAATTTAAAATTTTTCTTGACATTTTCCGATAAATTTTAAGAAACTTTTTAGTGCCACTTGTTTATTCAGCTAAACCTTGCAGTGTTGCCAGCTCCTACGTTATCCAGATTCTACATATTTCTATATTTATTAATTCACAACAATTTTAAATTTCTACTTAAAAAAATTAGGAATGTTAATTTTAATCTTTCATCAGTGCTTATTACTAATGGTTCTAGAAAAAAAAACAGATTATTTTTAGTACATACGCCTATATGAAAATAATGTTTTAGAAACGGAGACTGTTATTTTATTAGTTATTATAATAGCGTGCACAAGCAGCACAGTGGAGTGTATTTTAGTTATCGATCTGTCATAAGTATCTTTTTTTCAATGTTGTGGGTAACTTTTTTCTTTTAATTTATTTTGTGTAATGATAACAACATCTTAAAAATGTAATGCATCTCTACCAAACATCTCAGGTGGTGTGATTTTCTGAATTATTTTTAAGCTTATACTTTCTTGACCATGTGGCAACACAGGGGCTTGAATTATCTGAAATCCGGTTAATTCCAAGGTAGTTGGTGATATCTGCAGGCGGTTCTCAAAATGTTGCCATTATTTTTTTAAATTTTCAAACATAAATCACTCGGTTATTTTCAATTTACTTTAAAAATGGTAAAGAGAAAATAATATGTTTCTTTTGACTAGATAACTGCTTAAAATATCTGCACTTTTTTCTGGGACACCCTGTATAAGGATCTAATATAGAAAATGGGTGCTTGTCAGATATAACACCCTCCGAATTTTGTACTTTTTTTTATATCACTCGAAAGCATACATCGAAATAAGTATTTCAAGCCAAAAAAAACTGTGGATGATCCATAATTTAAGGAAAAAATAAACATCTAATTATTGCTACAACAGGCTACTTTCTATGCGAAAACTCCTCCAAATTTTGTCGGCGTTGCCAGATTCATTCATTTCTTCTTGAAAGGTTCATTAAAAAAACACGTGCTGGTCCGAAGAAAACTCGCGTTAACAACAGATTATTTTAAAATCAAGAAAAGGCGATCGTCTGAGGAACTGCTCCTACCCATAGCTGATATTTTGCCTACGAGATCTGACTATTTATAACTACAAAGTTGCACGAAAGAGTTTTGATTGCGTTGGTTTCAACTTGTTTGGGGGTTAATCTGTTGTTTTTTTATATTTTAATACGAATCTGAGTGCTTTCAATATCTTGATTTTAAAATAACTTATAATCTGTTCTTATCGTGACAGCGCTACTGTATAAGGATTTGTTCGTCCGGCGACCGGCACGTAAAATCAAGTGAAAGCAATCAGATTCGTATTAAAATAAAAAACAAAACAAAAGATTAACACACTCACGGAAAGGTTGAAACCAACGCAATCAAAACTCTTTCGGTCTCAACTCTTTTTTTGTATCATGTAACGTACCGAATGATCGAAAAAAAACGGCGTCAGCCATGGCTATGAAATGTACATCGCTGTCATTTTATAGGTAAAATTATATGGGGAATGTCATCGATCGTCATTTCCAAGCCAGCTGGACGCCGTTTTTTTTCGATCATACGGTATTATGTATCATACAAACAAGAAATAACTTTGGCAACAATGCTTAGGCAGCTTACATCCTTAAGCCCCGTTCTCAGAACAGCGACTGTCGCCAGCGACACGTCAAGAGGACCAATGAGATTTGTACAAAATTCAAACAGCTGTCAATTTTAAATTTAGTACAGCTCCCATTGGTCGTTTGAAGTGTCAATCAGTGTCGCTGTCGACACGACGCAGTTCTGAGAACGGGGCTTTAATAACAAATGGTGACGGCGGCAAGTTTGAATCGAAAGAGTAAATTGATCAGGCAAATATTACAAAAGATATCACCAACTCTATTTTTGACTTAATGCTTCTCACTGATTAATTCTGACCTTTATATTAATAAAAAAATGCATATAATCGTCATATTTTACAATAATTACACGCTTATACAACTTCACCATAACCTAAAAATGCACTTTTAATTTATTTATTTTTCAATAAATTGTGGTTCATCCGCAATTTTTTTTTGCTTAAAATTCTTATTTAAGTGTATGCTTTCGACTGATATATAAATAAATGCCAAATTCGGAGGGTGTTATATCTGACAAGCACCTAGAAAATGTATTGTCCATATTTTGTCTTATATAAAAAACAACTTTGTATTGATTGTAAAAATAAGGAAAACTATTATTACTTGCGAATCCATGTGTGGATTTAAAAATGATTTATATTAAATTGTACTCTGGTGATGTATACTTTGACTTTGCCTCTGAAAATGATTTTATATACTTAAATGTGTGACAAATAAAAATAATTTTAATATTCTGAAGTATAATTACTAATAATTTTATTTTTTTTTGGTTTTCTCAAAATTCACTTTTTGTTATTGGGTATTCTGTATGGAATAAATGATTATATGTACTAAATTCCAATTTTTTTAGATGGAAAAGGAAATAAAAATCCACCTGCGACCAAAAATATGGGATTGAGGTTAGTGCCTATACATTTGTTAAATATGAAAGGGAAGTCTTATATTTTGACCCAGCCGGGTGCCTCCAATACTCAAGCAGGAGAAAATGTGAAGGTAAATACCACAGAGTAGCGACTTGGTGAAGCAAAATTAAATCATTTTATATTTTTTTAATTTGCCTTTCGCCAATCACTTACAGGGTGGTCCAAATGGGATAATTTTAAAGGGAAACACTCTTTTCTATAGGACATAGACGAAAAAAAAACTAATATCGGTGCCTGGAGCTCAATTTTTATCAGAAACGTGATGGTAAAAACTACACATCGATATCTGTTACCGTTTCGGAGTTACGGGGTGTTTTTCAAAAATGTGCATTTTTAACAAATCGGTGTAACTTTTTGCTATGGGATATTTTGTATTTCTATACAAATATTCCCAAAATATCTCCTTACGTAGAATTTAATGGTGTATGTATATTTTTTTTAATTAATAGTTAAAAGTTATCAACAGAAAATTTGATTTTTTATATGGGTCACTTGTATATTTTTAATTCATTGTAAAAGGCGTTACAATTACCTTTTCAAAAATATAGCATACTAGTAGGTATTCCGGCACTTTGGACAGACAGAATTCCAGGAATTCCGGCGCAGGAAGTGACGTCATCAGCTAAGAACATGTAAAATAGGTTAAACAAGAATAAACCGGTTTAAAGAAGAAACTACCGCTTTAAAATAGAAATAAACAGGTTTGAACAAAAAAAGAACAGGTTTGTTGTTTTAAGCTAAAAAGCGATTTAAGCGATTCAAATGTGGATCAAAGCGGTTCAAACCTGTTTATTCTTGTTTATTAACCTATTTTACATGTTCTTAGCTGATGACGTCACTTCTTGCGCCGGAATTCCTGGAATTCTGTCTGTCCAAAGTGTCGGAATACCTACTCATACTTCATATTTGTATTGTTAATGTATTGTATTGTTAATAATTCTTAAATTATTATTTTTGAAAAAGAAACCGATATATATGTTTTCGTCTATTTTCTATAGAAAAGGGTGTTTCCCTTTTTAAGTGTCTAATTTGACCCACCCTGTACAGGGTTCGGCAATAGTGTGTTGGACATCGGTAGCTTCTAGAATAAAAAAAAACTAAATTATGTACTACGATGTATTTCAGGAAAATATTTTAACTTCTACAGGGTGGCTCAAAAAAGCGTGAGTTGGTCGGGATAATTTTTTTTATTAAAAATACAAGAACTGTCCTAAAATCAAAACTATATTAGGTATTGACTTTAAATTGTTTGTACTTACTTTGCTATAAATATCGTAATTTTAAATCATACAGGGTGTTCACAATTCTGCGCCAAACTTTCTAGAATATAAAATAACTTTTCTTCGTTTTTTTAATGGAACACCCTGTATATTATTTTAGAGAATTAAAAAAATAAACATTTTTTTTGCATATAGATTATTTCAAAATTTTTAACGGTTTAGCAGATATTCGCGGTTTTATATTTCATATGGCCCATTTTCCACAGTAAATTTTTATGTTCCCCCAATGATTTTCCTCTCGTATTTTACTGTTGAAAGAGCCATATGAAATAATACCGCGGGTATCTACGAAACTGTTAAGAATCTTGATATATATTTATACATAAAAAAATTCATTTTTAATTCTTCTTCTATTACAAAAATAATATACAGGGTTTTCCATTAAAAAAAAACGAAGAAAAATTATTTTATATTTTAGAAAGTTTGGCGCAGAATTTTGGACACCCTGTATGATTTAAGATTACCATATTTATAGCAAAGTTAAGTACAGACAGTCAATACCTAATATAGCTGAAAAATATACATTTTTTAATTTTTTTATTAATATATCTGAAACTATCAAAATATATTTACTCATATCTTCTGAAAAGAAGCCAAAAGTGCAATAATATTCAGGATGTTCCATTAAAAAATCATCTCGGTCCACTCACTTTTTTGAGCCACCTTGTAGAAGTTAAAATATTTTCCTGAAATGCATTCTAGTGCATACTTTAGGTTTACATTTAAATAAAATTACCAAGTTTTTTATA